CTCGTTCGTTATCATTTGTAACTGGTAGTTAGGCCTACCCCAGTTACATATATATATATATATATATATATAATATGCACACAAGCCGTCCCGGCCAGACCCTGGACTGGCCTGTGTGAAAAACCTATATGTAAAAGACGTTGACTTGTGTGTTTATTAAGCAGTACACATACCCGGCATTGCTCGGGCTTTGGAAATATATTACTTTTCCAATGCAAATATTGACGTTTGAGAAAATAACACATAACCCTAAACCTAACTCAACTCTAAACTTAACCCTAACCGCAACCAACCACAACCAAAACTAAAATACAAACGCAAACGTAAGACAAACGCAAACACAAACGCAAACACCAAAATAGCGCAAACAAAACGCAATAGTAACGCAAACACAAACGCAAACGCTAACACAAAAACACACATGAAAACGCGAGGGCAAACACAATGGCAAACACAAACGCAAACAACGTAAATGGAAACATAAACGTAAACATAGAGGACATTTAGGAACGGCCTCCAACCTCTTATTAATAAAAATATATTTGTTGTTAAAAAGTACATTCAGTGAATAAATAAACAAAAGGTAGTTTTTAAAATACCTATGTTTTACCTACCACATCAATTAAGATTTTAGTACAAAATTAACACTAAAAATTATTACACAATGGCCGTCAAGTCGAGATTACTACTATATTATTATGCATGTCTTCTTCAAAAATACAAAGGCACATTTCATTTATATATATATATATATATATATATATATATACATCAATTTTTGAAGAACATTTACACTTATGCGTTAGCTCCATGGCTATATTTAGCCTCGATGTTTGATCATGTGACCCCTGTTGTTGAGATGGGGCCGATTGTCCCCCCGCCTTTGATGGGAGCACGGAACTGTGAAAAAGTATAACTGCGTGTTTTCACACAGATCGCCGCCTCCACGGGGCAATGTTTATCCTCGGCTGGCAGAAATATTTGTCTAGGGTTAGGTTTACCCCCAGTTTGAGCTGGCTTGATCCAACCGTGCATTAAATTTTAATTAGCTTAGTAATGTAATACCCTGGCTTTGTTAGAAAGGTGGGGGGGGGTTCACTTGTTATAGCGAGTTTTTTTTTTTATAATGACAACAACAGTTGCTATCATTCTTCCACGCGGTTGTCATCTCCCATGGGTTGTCATCTCAACCCATGCCAACCCATGGTTGGTAAGGGGTTGGTCCACCTCATCGCCATCATTTAAAGAAGTTATACGCACCAGAGAGCAACTTGTTTTGAAACAACAACGTTCCACTTGAATAAAAAAAAACACATTATCTGGATCAGTGTGTGCGATCATTAATCAGTCTGATGGTTCGCTGTGTACGGCCACTGGTCTGCTCAATGGTTCGCTGTGTACGGCCACTGGTCTGTTCAATGGTCGTTGTGTATGGTCAATGGTCTGTTCAATGGTCGTTGTGTATGATCAATGGTCTGTCACTCACAGTGCACCATTAAGGTGGTCATCTAGGGGTGTATCCATCACCGGAAGCGACATGTTAAATGTACTCATTTAACGGAAATGGTGCGTAAAAAGAATCCAAAAATGATTGTCTGACGGAGACCATTGGTCGAAACGTAATTCCCCCTCCCCCCTACAGGTGCAGTTGTTTATTTCAGCTTTTGCTGTGACTAAATAGAAATGTTTCTTTAGATAGTATACGTCATCTCACCCTTTGATATCAAGCGGATCCTATAGCAGAGGAAGAAGAGTTCGTCTGACGGATATATAATTTGATAAATCGTGTAGCCCAGTTGCCCCAAAAACACGCCAGACCGGTCATAGAAATGGGCAGATCACGTGGTGGTCAGCTGACTTGCCTGGAATAAAATTCAGGTATCAACCGACAACATGCACTCATACTGAAAACAAATTCACAAAACATTTGGTCCAGTGTATCCTACCAAATGGGCCATTTGGGCTAAAACGTCAAGAAAGTGTAATATAATGTGTAACATTTGAAATAAACCCACACCTGCTTAATGTGCCCTTAATCTCATCTCATAGACCAATAAACCACATTCTGCCATTAATTTCATGATCCAAAAACCCCAATGTGCCATTCTGTATCGAAACCCCCACGTATGCCCACTGTGCCCTTCAGGACCGAAACCCCCACGTATGCCCACTGTGCCCTTAAGGACCGAACCCCCCCCCACGTATGCCCACTATGCCCTTAAGGAACGAACCCCCCCCCCCACGTATGCCCCCTGTGCCCTTAAGGACCGAAACCCCCACGTATGCCCACTGTGCCCTTAAGGACCGAACCCCCCCACGTATGCCCACTATGCCCTTAAGGACCGAAACCCCCACGTATGCCCACTGTGCCCTTAAGGACCGACCCCCCCCACGTATGCCCACTGTGCCCTTAAGGACCGAACCCCCCCCCCACGTATGCCCACTGTGCCCTTAAGGACCGAACCCCCCACGTATGCCCACTGTGCCCTTAAGGACCGAACCCCCCACGTATGCCCACTGTGCCTTTAATATCTCGTACCAAAAAAAAACCTCCACCCCCACCATCATGGACCAAGAAACCCCACCTTTTGATGATCTCCCCAGTGGTAAAAAAGCCACCTTTCTCCCACCAAACTATGCTACTGATGGCCTCTTTAGTATCGGCAGACGTGGGTTCGCGCCACCCGCGGTACGGGAGCGATAAAGTCACGTGTCAGGACGATGGCGCCTCGGATTTCTTCCCGAACAATGTAATCTCCCCTTGCGCCTTGTGGGGGAGCCCGTGGTTACCGGGTGGCGTCCCTTGAATCAACCCTCTCCCCCCCCCCCCCATGTCGATTTACTTCCCCTTTTGTCTGCTCACTAGTCAAGGGGAGATCAGCGAACTTCCCGCGTTCTATTATCTCCCCTTCTTTTAACGTTTTGTGTGGCGCGGCCGAGCAGGTCTATTAAATTGACATAAAATTGACTCCACGCATAAAAATGTAAGAAACCTAGTTAAATAGCTACACAAGAGACGGTTTTCTAATTACGTTTAAGGCGTAAACAGGTTTATATACTACCGTAGCTATTTAAAAAATTTGCTTTAATATGCGAACACTAAAAAAAAAAAAAATACGGAAAAAATATTAACTTTTAATATACTTCGCTAGACGGTTCATTGCCCCATTTTGATGTTATGGTGAAAGTGTAATCGACGGGCTTTGAGTTTACAGTACATCCTTCTTGATCCGGTTGTCTCCCATGACAAAATCTATTACGGTCGGAAAACAAATTACAAATCGTGTGTACTAAGTCTACAACTACAACTGTAGCCTATAGGGGATAACTAGTGTGTGTCTGTGTGTGTGTGTGAATGTAATGTATATGGGGATAACTGGTGTGTGTGTGTGTGTGAGAGTGAATGTAATGTGTAAGGGGATAACTGGTGTGTGTGTTTGTGTGAATGTATTGTATAAGGGGATAACTGGTGTGTGTGTGTGTATTTGTGTGTGAATGTAACTGCGGGTAAGTTGTATAGCTCGCCTTGTTGCTGTTAACTGTATTCGTTTGGAAGTTAAAACTAAACATGATGTTGTCTGCCTTCATGTGCGTCGATAGGGAGGGAGGGGGTGGGGGTTGATCTCCTCCCTGGGGAAAGCTTTGGCCCTGTGGATATGCGAGCTACATGCATGGGGGGTCTGGCGAGAGTCGTTCAGGTGGGGGGCATATATTTCGGAGGGGTTAGGGGGTGGAGACGGTAGAAATGGGGACACAGGTATTGTTTCAGCATATTTGAGGATACGAACCCACGCCTTTACCGGGTGATCTATGGGCAGGGATTTTGGGATAGATGTGGGGTAGGGTCTTGTGATGGGTTACCGGGTGATCTATGGGAAGGGACTTTATACGTTGGGTTAGATGTGGGTTATGGGTCATGTGATGGGTCACATGACAGGTAACATGATGGGTCAATGATGACGTAACACGACGGGTAATTGATGACCCACCCAGTGGGTCACACAGCTAAATACCGCATGATTTTTATTTAGCTAAATTTGTTAGGATGGGATTGCGAACAATGTTCCATCTCAGCTGCGCGGTTGCGCGGCCGTGCAGTAGTTTTAAGCTGCCGTGCAGTGATTTTGTAAAGTAAATATATCCTTGTATAAGACTTTTAGAACAGCGCGCACAGAAAATACATTTTGCACACTAACTTTTCCCCCTTAGAGGGAATATTGATTGCGAAGTATTCAGGTGCCCGTTTCATCAACCTGTTTTAACAATCACATGTTTCTCTATAATGCCCGAGCAATCACATGTTTTCTTTTAATACCCAAACAATGACATGTATCTCTACAATCACATGTTTCTCTACAATGACATGTTTCTCTACAATCACATGTTTCTCTACAATGACATGTTTCTCTACAATGACATGTTTCTCTACAATGACATGTTTCTCTACAATGACATGTTTCTCTACAATGACATGTTTCTCTACAATTCTATGTTTCTCTACAATGACATGTTTCACTACAATTCTATGTTTCTCTACAATGACATCTACAATGACATGTTTCTCTACAATGACATGTTTCTCTACAATGACATGTTTCTCTACAATGACATCTACAATGACATGTATCTCTACAATGACATGTTTCTCTACAATGACGTGTTTCTCTAAAATGACATCTACAATGACATGTATCTCTACAATGACATGTTTCTCTACAATGACATGTTTTCTCTACAATGACATGTTTCTATACAATAACATGTATCTCTACAATGACATGTTTCTCTACAATGACATGTTTCTCTACAATGACATGTTTCTCTACCATGACATGTTTCTCTACAATGACATGTTTCTCTACAATGACATCTACAATGACATGTTTCTCTACAATGACATGTTTCTCTACAATGACATGTTTCACTACATTGACATCTACAATGACATGTATCTCTACAATGACATGTTTCTCTACAATGACATGTTTTCTCTTATCCAGGCTGGGACCAATGGGGTCAGTGGTCAGCTTGCACGTCCGAGTGTGGAGGGGGGCGCCAGACCAGGTCACGTGAGTGTCGCCAGAGCAACGTCAGCGAGTGTGTCGGGGTGGGCTCGGAGGAAAAAACGTGCAACCTTTTCTCTTGTCATGGTAAGGTATAAACTGTATTTGTGTGTATGGTGGTGGGGAGAGGGGGATACAAGCCCGTCAGTTGGGTCTGTGTGTGTGTGGGGGGGGGGGGGAATCGTAGGAAAAAACTTGCAACCTTTTCTCTTGTCATGGTGTGTGTGGGGGTGGGGGGATAACAGGTTGTCAATTGGGGGAGGGGGGACCACTAGACAATTAGTTGTGTGAGTGTGTGTGGCGGGAGAATTCACGACCATCAGAAGTGTGGGGGAGGGGAAGGGGGAGGGGGGGGGGTACGACAAGACCATCAGTAGCTTGTGTGTGTGTGTGGGGGGGGGGGGGGTAGATACAATATACAAGACCAAGAATAACATAACTTAAAGCCAAAATAAATAAAGGAAAAACAAACCCTTCAATACTAGGAATTTCCACTAGAAATACATATTGTCTTTTCTTTAAAGTTCTTTTCTATAACGTTAAACCCTTTCTACTTGTTTTAAAAAAAAAATGTAAGAGGTGTTGTTTTTCCCTCTCCCCCTTGTTAGAATGATTGACACAATGACAAGCCTAACTCCCTGGGCAATTTACCAAATTTCCCCCAACTTTATCTGGCCACGCATCATGACAAATCAGCTTGCCCTGGTCGTTTACCTTCAGCTCTGCTTGTACCTCTCGCCCCACCACCCACAAGATTGTGAAAAAGTCGTGTGGGTTTGTTTTTTTTTTTTGTTCTTTTCTTTTTTTTTCGTTTAGTATTTTATTCTAATATTGTACTTCTTTGTTTTCTTATAAAAAGAATTAAAAAATCAGAATTATGATTCACTATTTGGCTTTAAAGCTAAAAATATGAGCCTCCATAGGGTTGTCCGTAAACAATGTCACACTCCACGGGGAAGGGGTGGTTGTACTTTTGTGACGATAAGTGATGATATGGGGGGGGGGGGGGGGGGGTGTTCAGGAAGTGTGGTTACACACTATTACATTTTTAACAAGTTATGTTAGGAACAGATTTTTAGTTTTAGCCGTTATTTCGCGTTGTTAAAAGACTTGTTTTGAAAAATAAAATAAAAGATTTTTAATAAAAAAATAAGCTATTTTGAGGGGCAAATTTTGACTGGCTTTTTGTGACCATGTGTGTGACGATGCGGGAATAGAGGGGAGGGGGGGGGGGTTGTATCAAATCGTTTGATAAAGATTATGGATGACCCAAAATAAGAGCACAATTTCTTTTAGATCACAAGAAGCCCCCCCCCCCCTTTTAGTCCCGAAGAAAAATGTCTGAAAGAAACACTGCTAAAAATGTCATGTTCTTTATTATGTCAAATACTTTACTGATTTCCCCCCTCGTGTATCTTTGTTAATCTATAAATCTTTCAAATATTTTTTTTTTCAACATTTACGTTATTCAGATATTAGTCCAATTAGCTGGATTCGATTTTAAATAGACCCTCAACGTGATTACCCCCCTCCCCCTCTCTTAACATCCATCCCACTTCATACATTGAACTCACTAACCAATGATTAAGAAAACGGCTAACTGGAATCATCCGCGCGTCTCAGTTTTGTCTTACACCCGTCACAACACCAACCCTCATGGCGTCCTTTGTTTACCTTCCCAGAAAGCCGAGATCTCCTGACCTACATGGGCGTGCGGGACTTCCCGTTGGGCGTGTCCCGAAGCTCCAACCGCTCTTCCGGCTACGTCATCACCCAGCAGGCCAAGCTCTCGGTGCCGCTGTCCCGGGTCTTCGCCAACCTCCCGCGGAAGTTCTCCCTGCTCATGCGCGTCAGGCTGCCCAGCAAAAGAACCAAGGGCTACTTCTTCGTCATCAGCGACAGCCAAGGCAAGCAACAGCTGGCCGTGTACCTGGGGAAGCGGCTCAAGTTCCAGTACCTGGGCAACAACTACGGCTTCCGGGTGGACATTCTGGAGAACACCTGGCACAGCATCGCCGTGAGCGTCAATGAGAACTTCGTGACGCTGTACGCAGACTGTGACACGGTTATCAGAAGGAGGCTGAGAGGCCAGGCGGAGTTTCTGGGACCAGATCTTGTCATGTCGATTGGTCCGTACTACTCGCAGTATGGCAGCCCGTTTGAAGTAAGACATTCCGTTTAAATAATAGGCTTATATAAGTACATTAACAAGATGTTTATATGATGTTTCAAAGATTAATTAATAGGGTTTCATTTAAGTACATTAAAAGAACGTTTATATGATGTTTCAAAGTTTAAATAACAGGCTTATATAAGTACATTAAAAAAGGACGTTTATATGATGTTTCAAAGTTTAAATAATAGGGTGCCATTTAAGTACATTAAAACAAAGTCCGTTGAAATAATAGGTGTCATTTAAGTACATTAAAACAAAGTCCGTTGAAATAATAAGGTGTCGTTTAAGTACATTAAAACAAAGTCCGTTGAAATAATAGGGTGTCATTTAAGTACATTAAAACAAAGTCCGTTGAAATAATAGGGTGTCATTTAAGTACATTAAAACAAAGACCGTTGAAATAATAGGGTGTCATTTAAGTACATTAAAACAAAGTCCGTTGAAATAATAGGGTGTAATTTAATTAAAGTAAAAGAAATTCCGTTTAAATAATAGAGTGTCATTTAAGTACATTAAAAGAAAGTCCTTATGATGTTTCAAAGTTTAAATAAAAGGGTGTCATTGACAGAGGCGTAGAGAAGGGGGGGGGGGGTGGCGGGAGGTACATATGTCCCCGTGCGCCGACCTTAGGGGGGCGCCAAAATGGGTTTGAAAAACAAACTAAAGTCTCATTTTAGCTGTATTTTTGCATTATAAATATTAAAAATATAAGGGGGGGGGGGAGGGTGCAAAGTGAAAGTTTTAAGGGAGCGGGTGCAAATTGATAATTGGAGGGTTGCTCCCGAGGGGGGGGGGTGCCAAATTGACAGTTTGTCTCCGTGCGCCGGGATGGGTCGCTACGCCTCTGAAGTAAATAAAGTAAATAAAAAATGTGATATTTAAAAAATATAAAGAAGATTATTTGAATTATACCGAAAATATTATGAAGTCATTACAATAAAGTATACACAAAATATACACAAAATATCGTCATGAAAATTAATATAAAGAATATCCATAAAAAAATTGAGTAACATAAAAATAAAATTAAGAGGAAACCCTATTGCCCAATAATTTACAAAGCTGTACGTCATTAAAGTTTAATAAAAAAAAAAGAAGCCCGTTTGAAGTAAATGGCGAAAAGCCGTCGTTAAAATTAAATAAAAAGTATTAACCATTCGCCCAACAGCCATAAGAATACAACAAATGCTAATATCAGGAGTCTTCATACGTGGTTATGGTTGGTTTACGTTCTAAAACGTTACTGCTGTCAGTGCGTTATTGGGTGGGTACATCTATTTGTGAGTAACACATTTTGTAGAGGCTACTAATTAACTAATTATAGTTTCATGGCACCAGTGAAACTGTAGATTGCAAGAAAAAAAAATAATTCAAGAATATTCTATGTACTAAATAGATGTAGGCCTACCTAAAGGAGTCGTCGATTAATGACTGAAAGCTATTTTGACAATTGTTTTTTTTCTCACCCCCCCCCCCACTATCACATATCACATAGAGCCAGGCAACCCCTTCTCCCTCCCCCTTAAAACTACCCACAAAATTCCATCAATTCTCCTAAAATAATCACAAATCCACTGTTAATTTAAATGTTTAAAACAAATTTAAATCGGTAAAAAAGAAATCACCCCCAATCCTTCAATAAACATAGATATTCAAGTCGCCCTCCCCCCGGGCTATGTTATTTCGTTCATAATGAAGCCTCGTACCATAACACTTCCCAATTTTGTCTGACTCAAAACATTTAACCAATAATATTTTCAAGAGTACAAATGTAATAATTTATTCACACAAAAGGCTATCCCAATGCTTTTAAATATAGGGCTCAAATTCAATATAGGGGCCCTTGAAAATATAGGGGTCCATTAAAATATTGGGTCGCTTAAAAATATAGGGGCCCATTAAAATATTGGGTCACTTAAAAATATATGGGCCTCGTGCTTGCAGCCCTCTCAACCCCCACCCTAACACGCTCTTCGTTAATATTTGATACCCCTGAGAGCAGCATCCCGTTGCCTAGCAACCAACCGTTTCGTTACTCGCTGTCATCAAGTTACAGAGCCACGTTGAGCCGGGGTGGGGGTGGAGGAGGTACAACAACTAAAATAAAAATTCCCCTTATGTTGTCAATTTGTATGTTCGCGTTTTTGCCTTATTCTTTTTTTTAACTAAGATAAAAATTGTGAAATATTTTAGGGTGAGGTGGAACAGCTAGTAATCAGCTCTGAGCCGCTGGTGGCAAGTCAGCAATGCGGTCTTGTAGTGCTGAGCCCTGTAAGTTCTTTATCTAATTTGGTCGGATATTTTTATTCGTACCTGGTATGTTTTGATTTTGGAAAAACAAATCGGGAAACAATATTTTTGGGTATGTTAATACAATTTTATTCTCGTTAGAACTCATTCAACGGAACATCAGAAGTGACCTCGGCATACAATAACACTACTGTACCCGCTGATGGTAAGTTTTTTTATCTCTAAATAGCCTAGATTCAATTTTAAGAACTAGAAGAAATATTTTTTAAAATTTAAAATTAAAAAGGTAGAGATTTTTCTACGTCTAGCGAGTATGCAAGCGCTGAACCTTGCAAGGGAAATAACTGATATAAAAACAAATAATTAAAGACTTTGTGTTTACCTCCCTTGGTCTTTATGAAACCTAATACAATTTTGAAAAAAATTATATTAAGCCTATACTTTTCAAAGCCTTGTTTCTCTATTTATCTGTTAATGAAAATACTTATTTTAAAAAGTGTTTCTTGATAAATAATAATACTTGGTAGTTGTGACATACAAACTACTACATCGACTTGCAGTTACCAGTTACGCCCATTTGGCTTGCAGTGTATGGATCCGAGTGGTCAGCCTGGTCCCCATGCAGCACAACCTGCGGACAAGGGCAGCAGATCAGGGCACTGTACTGCCACCCCGCCACGGCGCAGAGTTGTGTCCCAGGTGCCCCACTGCCTACCCAAACAAGACCATGTAACTTGGGAAACTGCCAAGGTGCTTGACCAAAAAAAAAAATTGTGTTCATGTTTCCATCAAGCATCATTTCATAAAATGTATGATCATGCTTTTAGATCAAAATGTAAATGAAACATTTTTTATGACTGCATGTGGCACCCTTGAAGTCATGTTTTTCATCCAATCAAAAATGTTTGGTTGTGTAGCATCTAACATTTTCATTGACTAATCATTTCATGAGTTTTATTAATAAATTTTATTAATTATCTTATTAATACTGATTTCATATCCACATTTTTGTATGGCTGGAAACGTCAGTGAATAAAAATCAGAACATAATATAATATCATAATAGGGCTGGTAAGTAGGTCACCAACCAGTTCTACGGCTCAATAAATCCTGCATGAGCCGTAGAACTGGTTGGTGAACTTCTTACCAGCCCTATATACTTTAATATTAAATGCTTAGTGCTAGGTTTAATTATAATTAAGGCTTGGTTGTTGACTTACTGTTACTTTCAGCCTTTAACTATTAGGATAAGCAATGCATATTACTAAACAAGCTATATGAATACATGGGTATGAGTAACCAACAAATAATTTAAATTCATCTTGTTTGGCATGTAAACATTTTAATTGTACTATCTTTTAAAACAACCCACTCAATATAACTTTTTAAAATTATTCAGAGTGCTCTCATCCTTGCCAAAATGGTGGCATTTGTTTATCTGGCAACATTTGTCTATGTAAACATGGATATACAGGATTTAGCTGCCAAAACAGTGAGTAACTATTGTGGATTTTGTTTTAGTAGTTATTTAGGATGATTGGGTATACCAATATCCGATTTTTCAGACTCTTCTGAAAATAGGTGTTAGGTTGTTAGGGGTCATCCTTAAATGACGTCACACTTTTTTTTTGACAAATTTTACCTTCCTCCTTTCCCATCCTTCACACAGTGACACAACAAACCAGCCCCCCCCCCCCCCCCACCCCCCTCCCCCTAAAATGACATCACACCTCAGCCTATAGTATAGCCTTCCTCAAAATTGCTGTTGAATTTTTTTAAACATTGATTTTGTTTCTATAATATTGACTGAGCACAGTCCACATAGGCAATTATAATCAATTTCTTTGTATTACAATTTATTTAAAAAAATTTCAAATGCAAAATAACGGCTCTTTTTTTTTTTTTTCTTAATGCATCACACATGATCACAAAATTACAGAGGCCCCCCCCCCCCCCCTCCCTCCTACAAGTATTTTATCATGTTAGAAACTTTTGAAATTATGTCCCCTTTTTAGGTAGATTTTTACTGTATACACAAATAGCTTTTAAAATATGTAAAAATCTTGTTTAACTAAATTATTGTGTTTTTTCTACAACCTGCAAGCTTTCTTTTTTAAAAGTATTTTAGGATCCCACAATTATGTTGTTTAATTATTTTATATACCTGAAACCTATGATTATATATTTTATGTGTAAATATGTTTAATGAATGTAAATAATAAAATAAAAAATGGTCCATATATTATCAGAGGTGTGTGAGCCAACCTGTCTAAATGGAGGATACTGTAGCAGAGATGGAAACTGTCAGTGTCCCCTCAACTACACAGGAGCCTACTGTCAGAATGGTGAGTCCACTTAGAATTAAATTTATTCCTTTCACTTAAAATTTGTTAATATTCTAGTTGCTAAAGTGTTACTTTTTATTTTTAAAGCTGTCTGTGCTCCGCCATGCCAAAATGGAGGCTCCTGTGTTTTTCCTGGGTTTTGTAATTGCCAATGTGGATTTTTTGGACCTACTTGTGAAAGTAAGTTGTTAAATTACAGTTTTTCAAAAGTTGTTAGTGTAGTTTAATATTTTAGAGTAAGCTGCCAGTTAACATTTTTTTACCCACTTGTGAAAGTAAGTTGTTAAATTACAGTTTACATTTCAAAAGTTGTTAGTGTAGTTTAATATTTTAGAGTAAGCTGCCAGTTAACATTTTTTTACCCACTTGTGAAAGTAAGTTGTTAAATTACAGTTTACATTTCAAAAGTTGTTAGTGTAGATTAATATTTTAGAGTAAGCTGCCAGTGTACATTTTTTTTACCTACTTATAAAAGTAAGTTGCAAGTTTGCATTTTAAAAGTTGCCAGTTTAGATTTTGAGAGTAAGCTGTAAGTTTGGATCTTTTTGGACCCACTTGTAAAAATGGTTAAAGAATTATCCCTGTCAATTAGTAGTTGGTAATACAGGAGCAAGAAACCCTTCAGCATTTTCTACTTTCTGTTGCTGACAGTCTGACTAAAAAGCTTAGCATCAGCTGGTGAAGCCTGTTTCTTTTTACTCCTGCTAATAGATTGTTATATTCAATAGGCAATTGAAGACCTACACAATGTTTTAAGTATTTCTAAAGTATTGTTTTGTTAAATAAAGCATGCAACATTTTGATTTTATGCTAGTAAGTTCATGTTAAAATGTTTTGTTGTACAGGTCGATGCAGTTTTCCATGTTTAAATGGAGGAGAATGTATAGGGTTCAATAATTGCAAATGTCGAGGACTTTATACTGGCAGTGACTGCTCTACTGGTAAACTTTTAAAAATAATTATTAATTAATAAACATAAAGATTAATGATTTCATCTGACAATTATACTGTCGCATGACTACTAAAAATATTTTACTAAGTAAACTGCTATAAAAGGTTCTTGTGGATAATAAAAAAGATACTACTAGTTTATATTCTCCTTAAGAATAAAAGTAGCCTAAAAGTAACATAAAAGTGTATGTACTCACAGCAGTGTGTCAGAGAGGTTGCTACAATGGTGGGCAGTGTGTGGCACCAAATGTGTGTTCCTGTCCTTTTGGGTTCTATGGCAAAAGATGCCAGAAAGGTAACGCTAAACTTTACCAATTTTATATTTTGTTTTGTTCTTAAACTTTAATTAATAATTGACGTTCAACTGGAGTCTTTATTGTTTTAAAATATGTACCCTAATAAATTGTAATGTTTTTTCTAAAAAGCCATATTGATCAATTTTGCTTATTTTAAAACTCCTTTAGAATTTGTAATATATTGTCGAACAAGCCATTCATTCTAAACAATTTTACTTTTAATAATTCTGTTTGACTAATTGAGTGTCTGTTAAAATAATGAATCCTCCCCACACAGTCCAATGCCTGCCCAAGTGTGAGAATGGTGGGGTGTGTGTGTCCCCTGACATATGTGTATGTAAACCTGGCTACTTTGGGTCAAGGTGTCAAAAAAGTAAGCACAACATTTTAGTCTTTACCTGGAAACTTGATTGAACAATTGGTTGAGTTTTTAGATAACATACACTATAAAATTAAACTATTTAATGTTGTTAGTATTTTAAAAATTTTAATTAAAGTTAATTAAACTCTACATTCTTCTTTGGCTATTCATGAGATATATTTAAACAGCAATAATTGTACATTTTTTTGAGGCAAATGTTTAATTGTTTTCAGCATTTAAAAACTGCCCCATTAACTACTTCCGGAGCCTATTTGTATAGAAATTATTTAGTAAAAAAACTATCTCCATCATCTGTTATAAGACTTACTTAATTTTTTATCTGTATCTTTGGCAGTGAGATGTAAGCTGAACTGTGACAATGGAGGAACTTGTGAAACACCAAACAAATGCAAATGTCCTCCACCATTTTATGGTAAACTGTGCCAGAAAGGTAAAAACATTTGACGAGCTTTGAACTACAAAATTTCTTTTGATTGAAGTATGTGCTTGTTACTAGAAATATCTTCAGCAAGGCATACAGCTGTTTATGATGTTGAGCTGAGTTAGGAACTTTATTCTAATTAGAAAACGGTGTGATTCGCCCGCCTAATTATGGGCTTAGAATAATAATTTATTAAATTAATTGTAGCCAGAGCATATGTATTGAGTGGTCAGTCCTATGTCCAGCTGCCTGGTTCAAGTCAGGTGCCCGTCAGTTCTAAGTAGACTCTGGAATGTTCTACAATGAACTACAGTCATAACGTACCATGTTTTAGTTTAGCAATCCTACAATGGCACTAACTTGCTTTATGGCTTTTTAGACATGATTTATGTGTATATGATTCAATATTTCCTGTTTTACTTATGTATTTTGAAAGTTCAGTTTGTTGTGTGAATGTGCCAGTTTAGTCTTACATGTAGCATACAAGTCTGTATAGCATACAATGTGTTACATGTAGCAAATAAGTCTTACATGCAGCATACAATGTGTTGACATTATCCTCAACAGAAAGATGCAACTTTACCTGCCTCAATGGTGGAAGGTGTCATAACAAGCAGTGCCTATGTCCACCTGGATTTTATGGTGACAGGTGTGAGAGAAGGTGAGTACTACATACAAAATTAGACTCAGCTGACTTAACTTTGCCATAAGTACTGGTAACCTATTTGGATTAGAGGGCGCATTAGGCACATAAAACAGAGTTCATCTGTTTTTTCTAGACTCTTTGTATGTTGTGATAGTGCGGTCAGCCGCCTATATTATCCCTTGAGTCAGGTATCTATCAGAGCTGGGTGGACTTAGTGACATCCTACACACAAAAGGAACTGAGAGCACTTAACTTGTTATCAATTGCTATTTTTAGAAGTGTAAGCTCACCCCAGATTTAACTTAGGTTAATTGTTATACAAGAAATTTTCATGGACGAAGGGAAACAACCAATTTAATGTTTTGCAAAATAATCTAGGCTCAGTTATCCTTGAAAAATAAATCTTTTTTTTCTCAATTGGAAAAACTTCAGAAATTTTAAAAATTTATTTTTGTTTTTAACTTTGAGTCATCAATCATCACAATAATGCAGTGTGGTTAAATGTGCTGCTGTCATTCTTTTTTAAAACAGGGCTTGTGTGTATCAGCTGGTTCAAATCCCATTCAGACGGACTTTTAGGAAAATAGTGCATGAACACTATCCAGTACCTTGTGACCACTGGCCACAACAAATTTGCATAAAAACAAGGTAAAGTCAGCAGCAAATATTTTTATTTTATTAGAAACAAAATTTCAAATTTATCTTTTTAAACATATAGTTATGTGCTTTATAAATTTAATGTCTTTGACATCTTACATTTGTCTATAAATGTTTTGAAAGCTTAATGTTTAGATTCTACAATTTAAATGTTTAACTCAACTTTTTGTTGGCAGATTGAAGTATGTGCTTGTTACTAGAGATATCTTCAGCAAGGCATACAGCTGCTTATGATGTTGAGCTCATTTAGGAACTTTATTTTAATTAGAAAACAGTGTGATTCACCCGCCTAATTATGGGCTTAGAATAATTATTTATTAAATTAATAATTTCCATGCCATGTGATAATAAATGTGTATATAATAATTATGACATAAACTGTATATTTGTAAAATAAACATGTTGTGATGCTTGAATAAGTCTTAATTTTAAATGTATGTCTGTCAGTATAGTTATAGAGAAGTTATTTTTTTCACCAACATACAAGACATATTTAGCAGGTTTAAGCTTAGCATTGCATCCATTTAGCAGGTGTATACATCCAAAAAGATAGCTGGATGTGATATATTCTTATAACAACCTGATATAAGTTTATACGCTACACTCCCAGAAGCAGCAGACCTTTACTTCAACTCTTACAATCATCAGATTCACAAGTCTACTTGACCTGTTTTTACCGTGCTTTGCCAGTGTATCTACAATCATATGCTCACAAGTCATAAACACTATACCAGATGTAGGGCATCTAGTGATCTACTGATAAGTAGGGCCTAGAATGTTATGTTGAATTCTTCAACCTGTATTTGACCTCAGCGTGTTTCAGTACTTAAGGTTTCTGAAAACAACACTCCTCACATACAATAAAAGACAACAACTTCGACAACTAAAGACAGCACATGAGAACTTAAGACAGAACATGACAACTCAAGACAGCAACACAAGAGACAGCCATATCTAGTGATATCTTTATTTATTTTGCTCTTTTTATTTTCTTCAATTTTTCTGGACAGGTATTTTGATCTCACCTCAAAAACAAAAATGGTATCATGATTTACTGTCAGCAATTAATTCAACAATGAATTACATGGGTGAAATTCTATCTACGCTTATAGTTCTACTGGAAGTAGAAAGCAGATTTTTTATAAAAGATAAAAAGCTTTTGACGATACTTGTACATAATAACATCTCAGTGAGTCTGCTGGCTCTGTGGGAATCAATGGCATATTAAAAGTAAAGCATTTTTTAAATATTACCAAACAATTGGTACACAGAGGGTGCTAAATATTTACAATCAGATATATCTTACATAACTTGATATCATATTTTAGACGAAGACACATCTAAAAATATCTACAAAGTCTATAAAGATCAAATAGTGGAAATAGAACTATCAATTTTTTTTAAAATGACATAACCCATCACCTTCTTGTTGCATTAGTCTTTTAAAATTATCTAACAAGTAACTTTGAAAATGCAGTCCTCACAACCAGTCATATTCATCCATGTGAAACAGTCAACAACTAGCAGTTTAAAAAAAACTATGGGAAGCTACTCATTGTGCAGCTATTTTAAAAGGGATAATTTTTGCATCCTTTAGAATAAAGGGATCACACCAGTACCCAAATTAAAAAAAAACAATCATTCCCATCCACTTCTTGTTCTGATCTATAATAAACTTTATACTTACATTCATTGTGAACGGTAAGTCCTATGATTAAAATTATGTACAAATCAAAATATCTGGTACTATTTATCCTATATCATCATATAATTTTTTCCTGGTTGTTTCAAGTTCAGGATAGGAATTTTAAGATTCTGGTATGCAATCTTCAACTTTATTTTCTAATGAAAAAGGGAAGTGCATGGATCTGTCAAGATTCCTGCTTATTTTGTAGAGGATACCACACCTCTCAATCATCTGAGAACACCTAACCAAGGGTGTAACATCTGCTCCTGTTTAGCATTCACCCAACACTAGGTGGATGTCGGTATCGCATATACTTCACAGTTATGGCCAAGTTTATATAGAACAACAAAAATTTCCTCAAGAAAAAGCAACAAGCATCCAGACTAGTACAACAAAATATTTGATTAAAATCTATACAATATGAGAACCTCATATACACCCTAGGGATACCCAAATGAACCTGTACCCTATACAACGTATGTACGTGAACCCATTTTCTGTTACTATACCCCCAATGAGTGTACACTTTACCATATGAAGACAACACGATGAAGCAATAATGTAATAAGTTAAAAGGTAACAATGTTTTAGAATGAATTTGGAGGAAAAATAAAATCTTGACAACTAAAGAGAACAGAGAGTGAATGATCTAAGCGCAGGTACTAGGATAAAACACAGGAGCCTTTCTCCTGTGTCTCGCCGTTCTCCTTCTGTCTCATTGTGTTTAAAATGGTGTCAAATATATCCTTCACAGACTAGAAAATAGATAAAGTCTTTGTTATAAACTTGATACAAATTTTCAAATTATAAACAATAAAAACAAAGAAACAACTTAAAATTTAAAGTTCTTTAAGAGTAACATAAAATAGATGTTTTTCATCCACAGTGCCATTAGATTCTCATATGTAAACAATTGTGTTCATATGTAGTATGGAGCCTAGTTTTCATTAGGTCATGGCATTACTCCATAAAATATTTCCTGGCTTCTCTTACGTGGCGTTTTTAATATGCCATAAAGTGAGTAGGACACTGAAATCTACTTTACACTTTGAAAAAGGCAAAGCTGGAATAACTCTAATTAATGCTGTTTTCTTAAGTAATTGGGCAATAACTCTTGAATAAATAGAAAGGGCAGTAACTGAACACTTTAGACTTGATGGAAATCATAGTTTAAAAACTTACTGAATTTTCTTTAGCCGATGCTTCAAGAAATGGAACCTTCCAGGATTCAGCTAAGCGCCTACCCTCCTCTTCTGATATAACCCTAGGTAGAAGAAACGTGTTGTGTAACAAAGTTCTATTTTTTACAAGAATTCTAGCAGTACAAATATTCATCCACTTCCTACAACTAACAGTACACAACACTGGCAGTACATAGTAAAGGAAAAAACAGCTGGCCAACTCACCTTTCAAAACGAAGATCCTTCTTATTTCCTACTAAAACTATTGGGACCCTGTAAAATTTTTAGTCCATCTTCTTTAAAAATTTCTAATAAATACAATACATACAAACATTTTTTAATTTTAAAAAAGTTAAACGAAACCCCTCCACTGAGGAAGTTTTTTTTTAATGACAACACAATAAAATATACAACACAAGACAAGGGTTTCTAGGTAAGTTTGAAATACCCTTGGGTTAAGCACTACCTTTATCTTTTTACTTACGTAATTCTTCCTTTCATATCAATGATCTTGTCGTAAACATGTTTCACCACTTCAAAGCTGTAGTGAAGATAAGATTGAGAACAATTACATTTCTTTTTTAGAGAACAATTACTTTTGTATTTTATCATAAAGCTTCTTCATAATCATTTTTAAAATTATCAACATATAAAAAAAAAAAAAAACAACACGTTCTATATTATATATATAAAACAAAACTTTAATTTGAAAGAAAAATAATTATAAATTTTAATTAAATATTTGTAACAAGGTAAAAAGAAAACCTAAATTCCATCTTAATGAAATAAATTCAGTACTTAATTACTAGACATTGTTAGCTAATTCAAGAATAGGGAAGAATAGAAAATTTGTATGCAGCATATAATGCGTCCTATTTGTCTCACCTTTTTTGTGAGTTAACAGAGTAAACCAAGACGTAGCCATTGATGTTGATAAAATATGACTGGGGTATAACAGAGTACTCACCTTTTTTGTGAGTTAACAGAGTAAACCAAGACGTAACCGTTGATGTTGATAAAATATGACTGAGGTATAACAGAGTACTCACCTTTTTTGTGAGTTAACAGAGTAAACCAAGACGTAGCCATTGATGTTGATAAAATATGACTGGGGTATAACAGAGTACTCATCCTGCCCAGCTGTGTCGATCACATGCAGCTCATAATCCTGGCCTCCGACTCGGGTTGTTTTTGAAAATGCTTAAATATAGTTTTTTTCATAATATTAAATGTAATGCAAAATTAAAACTGAGCAGGGGAGGGGGAAGGGGAATCACCTCAGTTTAGGGTGGGGGAAATCCAGCTTATTGTGGTGGCATGTGATAAAACTCTATTTAAAAGGATTACATCATTTATGGACAACCCATAAAAATTCAGCCAAATTTTTCAAAAGTGTATAAGGGAAGGAACAAACATAAATTGAAGTTATTGTTCTTATTTTAAAAAAAAAATAAGGTTTCAGTTTCAAATGGTTTACTAATTTCTGTAAGTTTAAACAATCCATTTTAATTCTGCGCCAATTCTGTTTGTGAAAGAAAATGCTTACTGTTTTCTATGGTAGGATCATACGAGTCAACAAACTGATTCTCCACATATTGGATAATGAGTGAGGATTTACCTGGTGAAAAAATAACAGTAGAAAAATATTAAATATTTTCATGCTATTTTTTTTTCTAATGTATCATAAAACAGCTATAAACGTTGTGTTGTATAAAAAACTTTGTAGTATAGCTTCTTAATTGAAAAACTCAGTTACAGGATTGGTACAATTCAAACACGCAGATCTATTTTAGTATAGACTTGAATTAAATTTAGAATCCAAATCAATATTTTTTCCTGGCCATATAAACAGTACTATCATTCTTCTGTCCTTAGTGAAACTCTTGAGATTGGTGAAAGTAATTGACCTAGAATCTAAATCATGCCTTAAAATTTAGGCCTAATGAGGCTAATGATTAATAATTACATAATGGTTATATAGATTGAATAATTCATGATTAAATGGCATATTTTGAGGTTTATTTACTTATTAAAATTGATTACACAATTGAAAAACATTTGAATTTTTAAAATATTAGTTTTATTTTGTTCATTTTAAAAAAAAAGAAATTTTAGCACTTCAAATAGTCTTTGATGTCTAATTATTAAGAAATGGATGTAGCAGAAAACAAAATTTTTCTACTCTTGTCATTTTCTAATTTTCTTATAATCTAGACATTAAGTGGTGATTTTATTTACACTAATACATGGGACAGCATGGTCGGGTGGTGGAGAACTTGACTGCCAAACCAAACATCTCAAGTTCAGATTTTAGACTGCGTTTTTGGAGCTAAAAAAAAAGCGCCAACAATGTCACCCAAGGCCCAAGGCCAATAACACGCATTACGGTGGATTTTTTTTTTCAATGATTATATACCCTACCCATCCGCCGCCTGACAGCATACCACTAGTCTTTACAAATGGTGTTAAAAGTTTAACATTGAGTTCAAGAAGGGGAGAGGGTGGTATTGAAACAACAATGTTCTTTAATATGTTTAATAGTACAAATACATAGTAAAAAATTATACTTACTTAATTCTATAGCATCATACATAATTTTATAAATTAGCAAATTAATTAACTAATTAATTAATTAAATCTAATGATAATGAAGGGATAATGTTAAGGCACGACACACAACACTATGCGTGCGTGGTATGTGGCCTGACCGACCGAAAAGAGATTGTTTATATTATTGTTTTGAGTTTATTTTTAACTCAATGCAACGGGATTCAAAGGGTTGATTCTAAATTAAATATCGTCCTAAAGCCCTGCCACCTATTGTTTGTTTTAATAACGCGAAAACCCCGCCATTTTGCTCGTGTTAAACATTTTAATACAGTAATTCTAATAAGGTCACTGGAACTAAAACGAAAAATTGTCAGAAGTCATGCATCCGATGTGTACACCATATTGTTGTTAGCAACCGGCCACGCCTCCGGATAAGCTAGTAATATTATTATTTTTTAATAGACCTATGCCTCGTCTTAATGTATTTTATTACCCAGGTCTAGATCTAGAATTAGAATAGATCTTGATCTCTTTCTAGATTCTAGATCTAGTACTACTAGATTATTTTTAGATCTAGATCTAGATTCTAGATCTAGAAATCTAGATCTAGATTAGTACTTTTTCCTGGTTCAGAATCAGAAAAAAGAGAAGGGGAAATGATTTGGAAAAAAACGTGTACACACCAACTGATCTGAACCCCATAAATGCAATCTTTCTTTCTTTTGGTGGCATTGTCAGATGAACTGTGCAATTTGTTTGTTTTCTGTTAAAATTTTAATGTTATATCCGTTTTCACAGGATAATCAGGAAACAATAATCTCAGCGGAGTTATCTTTAACTACTTCCCACAACAAACAACATGGTAGCACAAGGTACATAACTCTCGTTTCAACGATGACTTGCCAGTTTAACCCATATTATCCCAAGGTCTCAAATTTTTATAATTTTTTGATATGGTTTAGCTTTTGGGCACTGAATGAAGGAATGACTATGGATTTTTTTTAAAAATCAATACTTTTTAAAATATCGATTTTTAAAAAAACGTCCCATAAATGGGACGCTAGCAACGAACGGCCCCATGTACATTTATTGAAAAATAAAATCATTTATCACGAAATATGGCTATTCACGCGAAAATTAAGCTGTATACTGATTTTGTATTGTTAGACCAATGATAACATTGTTTAGGACAGCTAAAAATACTGATAATGATCAATTGGGTTAGCCATACCATGGTCTAAAATGCAGAAATTATGTTCAAATCTCTAGTTTTCTTTTAATCTAGCATCCATCAAAGTGAATAACACTTGGAATTAAGTAAAGCTGTGACTAGTACCTCTAATTAGACACACATGATCACAAATATTGTTATTATTCATCGAAACTGTAATATAATTAAATATAAATAATTGATTTTGGGGGGGGGGGGGGGGGCGTACTTGAAATTTTCAGGGGGGATGGTCTTAAATTTTAGGGGAAGGGTGGATATTGGTAAACGTATGTTTTGTATATAAATTCCATTTTGTTCTGGGGGCAGAGCCCCCCCCCCCCCCTCCTCTGAAATGATGCCCGAAAGAAACTCTGCCCTCAGTGAATTTGCAAAAGATGATCCGGTCCAGTCATCTTTTCTTTTGTTACCCTCCCTATCCCCCCCCCCCCTCACAGGCGTACATTAGGACATCAGACATCTTATTTCTAGGGCACGGATACGTCTCTGGGGGCTTGTATTGAGTGTTCATGGCTCTCATCCATGTATGCACCTCACTATGCGAACAACTTCCAATCTAACACCAGGAATCTCCTTAAAAAGTTAACAAAGTAAAACTGGTATCGGGAACCTTTGGAGGGGAATATTATTGGGGCATGACAAATGTACACAGCTAATTCACATTTCTGCTATATGTAGCTTAAGCTCTCTTATATGAAGAGAGTTAACCAACCCCCATGACTGAATCATTTCACCATCGTGGCCATTGTAATTATTCTGGTTTGTTATAATTTTAATAACACGCGCTAGTAATTTTACAGCAATACTAAATTAGTTTGTATTCAATGGTATTAAATACTTCAGTAAGTGTAATTCTGAAAACTTAAAAATAAAATGTAAGTTTTTCAATATTTGCAATTTTTTAATACAATAATATATAAGAAAATATAGCTCAAGGTCATAATTAAATATCTATAAATACTACTTAACACCCCAAAGTCAACAGTTAACAAAGTCAACAATTGTTTCACCATAAATAACCATTTAACATAAATATTTGCATCTGTGTTTCTCGCTAGTGTCCAATAAATGTGACGTTTGTGTAACAATCTGCATAAATATAGGTCAAGGTCATAATTAAGTATCTATAAATACTACTTAACACCCCAAAGTCAGCAGTTAACAAAGTCAACAATTGTTTCACCATAAATAACTATCTAACATAAACATTTGCATCTGTGTTTCTCGCTAGTGTCCAATAAATGTGACGTTTGTGTAACAATCTACATGGGACCATTCGTTGCTAGCGTCCCACTTATGGGACGCTTGTTGTACACTTGATATAACGAAGTAGTAAAAAAAAATTGTTATTCTTAAATTTTTATCAGAAAGAAATATGGTACTGCTACAAGTTTCAAATGTATTTTGCACTTAAAATGTTAATATTTTAGAAGGTATGCATTTTCCTGTGCGCATGTTTTCTTTTTTTCGCCATTTTGAGAAGTCCTGCAAATCCGGCACTATAACATTTTTCTAAATTAATTTTTTTCACAAAACACACACAAATTCAATAGTCTAGCCATTTTCAAATACAATGAAACATAATTTGTGTTTTAACTAGTTTTTAATAAATTTTAGCAATTTTTTTTACAAGCGTCCCATTAGTGGGACGCTAGCAGAATATGGGTTAATATGATTAGACATTGCCAGACCAGATATTATTTGGCAAATAAATGTCGACCGAACTAAAGAATTTTTTTTTTTATCTATAACGATAAGCTTAATTCAAAATGACTTGTATTCAATGGCATAGGCAGGGATTTGTCATAGGGATGGATCAAGAATCTCCACACACACACACACACACTCGCACGCATGTACACCCGCACACACACATATCCATATCAGATGGTCCATATTCCTATGCATTACATTCATATCAGGTAGCTCATGCATTACATTCAAATTAGGTAGCTCATGTTTAACATACATATCAGATGGCCAATATGTAAAACACCCATATTTATATATGGTGTACATGGCTTAACATCCTCAACCATAAAAGCATGTTGTTACTGTTGATCATTTATGTATTTTGTTAGGGGATTTTATTGCCTTTGTTTAAAAGTTTCCATTCGAGTAAATTTACCCTTGGTCACTTCATTGTCATTTATTTACTCTCTGGCTTATATTTAGGTCATGTCAGATCTCAAGGATGTTTAAACTGTGAAAACTGGTTGAATTGATTAAATTGATAGCAAGGAGGTTGGTAAAGTGAAGAAATGTTTGTGTCAGACAACCTGGCATACATGATGCCTTGGTATGCAGCCCCCACCCCACCTTATGGTATGAATCTCCTTTAAATTTGGTCCACACTTTTAAACTTTAATCATTAGATACATTCTCAAACAGATCTTTTCCTTGCATTTACTTTTATATAATTTGAGTGTTATAGGATCTTCATTTTGGCTATCATAGTGTGACGCCCAATCAGTGTTTCTTCCAGACTTTTTTCTCCAGGGGGGGGGGGGTGGACACTGCTAAAAGTATATGTTTTCTATATATAAATTCCATTTTGTTCTGGGGGGGGGGGGCGGTAGACTTTCTCTGTGCCCAATGATAGCATAAGTTGGAACGACAAAGGGAACCAAGAATGCAGAGGCACAGCAACCCATTTGGGTTCCGCACCCTGCCCCATTTACATTTGGTTATTCACGTTGTTGAAAACAAAATTCCCCAACACCATTTGAAAAGGTCTGCATGTCCCTCTATAACTACTATTTTGGTTTCACACATTTTATGCGGAAATCAGTTAAATAATTCCCTAAATATAAGTATATTCTTAACTTAGATTGTGTATAAATTAGTAATTGAGCTCAGAATGTACTTATTTAATTTACCCTGTTTTTAACCCTATGGTTGGAGCCTGGGGTGGCCACCACACCACCCTACCCTGGCTAAGCCTCTGCAAAAATTTAATAAAATATTAAACAACATTTTAAAAATATTTATTGTTAAAACTCTCTTTTTATTGGAATCAGTTTTATTAACTATTTATAAAAATCATATAAATACATTATTAATATTATTATGCCATTAAAATATATAACATAAAACAAAATAGTTCACTTGAATTTTCAAAATAGACAGATTTGCAAAAAGATCAGTTTGATTTTAATTAGATGAAAAGTATCAAGAATAACATAATGGAAATGCAAAAAATGGCACAAGGATGAATCTCAGATATAGCACCAGGTTCACGAACAATCAAGACATTCATGGTGTGATATAATCAAATAAATCTCCAATCTTTCATAGTGCTGGTCATGAAATGGAAAGAACAAAAGTATACATCAACAAACATTATTGTTGTATGACTAAAATTGACTGGTGAAATATAGTAAATTATATACAAATATTATCTTTATAAACCTAGGTTTAGGTAGACTGGTTTAACAATAAGTGCTATGAAAACCCTGATAAGCCATAAATGTAGTTAAAACAGACTTAATACACGCCTGTGAAATTTGTTTATGCCTTTCACTAACTGTGAGAAGAAGGCCTATTTAAAAACACCATTACTTGATAACTGTTACAATACCAGTAATTGTTAATGTTAAATGTTCTAAAACTTAATTTATATTTATCTAACCTTAAGATGCACAACAAAACAAAATTGATTATTGAAAACAGTTGATTGAAAGTTAGATGAGGGAGTTAGCGTGTCTACTCAGGCATATTTTCCTCACAGGGAGGCTATCATCATTATTGACAGGTGTCATGGAATAAAAGCCAACATGATAACAATATACTCCAACAAACATTTTAAAAATGAAATTTAAATATGTCATATATAATATTTTAACACCATTTTATATTTTTTTACAGAGAAAATACAATTTAAAAAATTGTAAATTTTCTTATTTAAATTTGCAATTCCAAAAATAACCTCACTGGTATGAGAAAACAACTTTGGAGAAAAAAAAGGAGAAAGATGAAAGCCTTTATGGTTGTTTCAAAATGTAATTAACATACAAATGCATTGATTTAGGGATTTGCAAAATTAAATAACTAGTGGAATTAATGTACTATTTTTGTAGAAAGTAAACTTCATTAATGTGTGTAAATTAAACAAAATTTATGAGTTACATTTCTTGAATAATTTATCTATAGGTTGAAACTTTGTTTTTCTCTCAATGTTTGCAACATGTTTGCTGAATGGGTTATGATTTTATTTGCTCAGTTTAAAAAAATATTTTACATTAAAACTTATGACCAAATTTAAGTAAGTACAAGTATTCATTAAAAGGATTATTCAATAAATTATTATTATATAACATATATTGATAATGCATAATAACACGATTGTAAAAATCTGACATCAAAGTTTTAAATAAATAGAAATTAAAAAATCACAGTTTTTTTCCCTTGTTTTAATTTAACAATTAACAAGTTATTAATCAAGCCAACATGTTTGATAAAAAAAAGTATAGTATGTGTGAGTATAAATATTATGACATGGCAGAAATGGTGACTTTTAATTTTAAAATCAATATATGAAGTAAGTCAGGCATTTTAAGAACAATCAAGAAAGCTTGAATGAGAGTATAAATAGCATAATGTCATGGTGTATAGAACATAATAAATTTGTTATAATAATTGGAATGAAAAATTTTAAGGAATGAAATTAAATTACACATAAATAATCACATCATTTTCTATTGGATTTGTTTTGTTTTACAAATAAAGAAATCTAGCCCTTTAATACCCACATATGATTAAATCTTAAACTCTCACACTTACATTTACAATCATAAATATGAAGTAATTTTGATTCTTTTTTTTTTGGCAATGTAACGATTTCTGGAGCTTGGACTTGAAATCATAGATTGAATGATAGAATGTCATTTTTTAAAAAACGTTACAAAATTCTCTTCATAAACTTGCACTTTAAAACTTACAAACGTTCAAATCTTTCACTCTGAAACTGACGGTGTCTTGAGAATGAAACTTGTCTCCTCACTGGGACATCATTGCTGTTAAAAGCAGGGGTCCCATTCTCCATAGAACTGGTTGCCGCATTGATCAACTTTGATCTGTGGTATAGAGTCCGGGCCATGGCCCCCCCTTGCAAATCGGAATCTGTGTCATAATCCGGCTCCATGATATTTAAGTCTCGCAGCTCTTTGGTTGTAAACCCAAAGCCGGATTGGACAACCTTAGCAGTTTGAGATCTGCCTCGAGGTGGAAGCTTAGGTCGAACTGACATACCTAAATTAGGTGCGCTTTATGTTGGAAATAGAAAATTGTAAAGTATAAAATGTGTTCAGTGTTCATAAAAAAAATTCATTTACTAAGATTAAAATGACATAAAAAAATACAACTTTTCTGAGTCAATTTTTAAAAATTAGGTTTTTAAATTGTTTCAGATTTGAAGTATATAATTATTATTGTAATAATATATTTTGTATCAAACAGCAAGCGTTTTAAAAAATATAATAAACACTGGCCAGAAAAAAAAAGAGAACTTAGACTGCGGTACTTACATCCCGCCGAGAGAACTACCATTCAGTCTCTGTCTAACACTGTTCAATGTTTGTAGTGTTCTCCTATCAAGAGGGCCATTGGATCTCTGAGCATCAAAAATAGGCCCCATATTTTTAATTGTCTTTCTTAGTGTTTCTCTAATATGCTCATTATTGTGAGTGCCTAAAAAAAAATGGAAAAAAAATCCATTAAAAATTTTGTTTGATTTCATTAAATTACAAAATTATTTAGAGCAAAAACATAACGTATTGTGTGCAGTATTTTACAGCAAAAAAAAAAAAACCACAACATAATTATTTTACAAGACATTAAAATTATTTCTTCACATTCTAATTTCCTACCTCTAGATGCACCTCGATCAGAGAAAGCCCAAACAGATTTTCCAAAGTTATTGCCCTTTGGTGCAATGATAGGAGGTTCAGTTGTTGTACCTTGATCACCAGTTACAGGAATTTTTAAAACCTCCTTGATGTGCCTAATGGCAGCTTCTCTTTCAAGTTTTTCATTTGCGATGCTACTCTTTTGGTTTCTGTTTTAAAATTATTATTTAATTAATTAATTAAATATATATTATAATAATATAACACAATTGAATGATTATCATAGTGATGCAGATCTATATTATGAAAATAAAATTAATGCAAGTAATACATTTACAATAAATGTAGATAATTTGGTATCATTTGAGGCTAGGGAAATTCAATACAATTAAAATTTTAAATGAACGCAAACGTTCTTAAATGATTTTTTTTTTTTTTAAATGGTATTACAGAAGTAAAAATAATATAGTCTTATTGTGAGGAAAAATTTTGTCATACATTATCTCCACTTTTGTCCCATTTTTTTTGGTTAATGAATTTTTTAAATTGAAATTTTTCTGAACTCACCTCACAATAATTTCAGTTATAGCCAAAAGATGCTGAAGAGTTCCCATGCGGTGAATTAGCATTCCAACCATTTGCAGCAGAAGCAGCAACAAAAGGAGACCAACAAACCCAAATCCAAGAACACTTTCCTAATAAATATATAAATCTTAAAAAATAGTTTCTTGGTTTGCAATGAGACACTTAAGAAATAAGATTCTTCATTAATAAGTCTGACGTTTTTTTCTGGCTATAGCCACACATTAATACATACAACATATAAATACAAGTACACAAATACATAAATACACAAACATACATACACAAATACACATGGACGCATATAATAATCTGATCTGAAAATGCTCAACAATTATAATTAATTAAAGAAATAAGTTGAATGAATAAAGTTAGATGTGGGTGTTAGAATATTATATGTGCCTAAATTGGAGGCTATTATCATAATAGACACTGTCATGGAATAAAAGCTATTTTTTCTTACATATATAGCACTTGAAATTCTCAATAAAATTACCTCAAATTCATATTTCTTTGCCTCAAAATCATATTTGAAAGCGATGCGGGCAGCCTGTGTGTACTGGAACATAAAGTTGAGAGCCATCCACAGCAAGTTCAGGATGATTAACCCAAAAGCTGAAGAATTCCTCAAGTCCCTTAATCCATCTGCTATTTTTTTCTGCACAAATTAATGTTGCATTAAAAGGTTTGTGAGATCAAGAACTAATTTAAAAATTATCACAATTCTTTTAAAGATAATGGTAATTTTAAAATTTGACTTTATTACATGCTGTTAGTGCTTGTATTATATAAACAGGTAACTAACCCTTTCATCTGCCGTTGGTTTGATGGGGAGCAGATACTTGTCGACAAACCCTCGCCAAAATTCCATTTCCTTTTCATTGCCCTAAGAAGTGATGCAAATAAAAATGTTTTTGAAAAAAGTCACAAAAACAACTGAAGATTGATATGGCCTCTTTCAGTATCCTTATTAAACTTTTAATTGTTCTTAGGTTTTAGTTTTATCAAAAATGTATTAAAATTAGAATGATTAAATAAACTTACTTCTATAGTTGGCCCATCTCCTAATCCTTTGTCTTCAGCCCAAAATGGATTCTTCAGTTCATTTCTTATTTTTTTCTTTTTTGCTTTTTTGTTTTTGGGAGCTGGGGTTGTTTTAGTGGGCTAAAAAAAATTGAAATTTCTTTGATCAAATAATTTAATAAACTCAAAATGTTAAATACAAAAATATGCCAACTATATTTTTAAAAAAAACAACAACAGAGCAATGCACAGGGTTTAGTTATTGTTTCATATCTCCTGTCAATTGTTCCTTTATAATATTTTGGTTGGTTTGGAATTTGAATGGCAACAATATTTATATCAAATGCAAAAGAAATTATGAAGTTTTATTTAGCTTCACAACCATCTACTTAACATCCAACAACAAAGCTTATCAAGAGCCTATGATGATACCTACATGATGAAACTGAGTCTTATACTGTTATGCAGCTTTCTTTTTCTCAAATAGATTTTCTTAATCACTGTTTTATTATACAACATTACCAATGAGATTAGCAAAGAGCATTTATTCACTCACCTGTTCAATGACTGGTGATGGTTTTTGTGACTTTCCATCTTGTGACTGCAATGAAGGTTTTTGCGACTTCCCAAGCTGTGGCTGCTCAACGATGATTTGCTGCAGAGTAGATGTTCCTGTTTCTCTATTGCCTCCATCTTGGAGCAAGCGCTGGTGACAACAAATCAGCATTGAAATGATTAAAAGAAATGTGCATCATTTACATGGAAGAAAGAAATGCAAGATTTAAATGCTGAAAAGTATAGTGCATTATCTAAAAATGTAGAAAAATATGCAACGTTTAAATGAAGTAAAAAATTTTAAAATAATTGTCAGATGACAAATTAGTTTAACTGCCTGTAAGGCTGACAGTGTGTCACTGTTTAACTAATATCTAATCTTCATCATATATTGGCAACAGAAAGAGGTGTCACTGAGTCACTTCTGCCCTTTAATTAGAAGCACATAACCCTGTGCCCTCCCCCCCCCCCCCCACTGCCTATCAGTGGTACCAAAACTTGTCATAGACAAATTTATGCTGCTGAACAGAAGTTAACATCTATTTCCATTTCATCAATTAAATGATACCTACGCAGTTGCAAATTTGTAATGATAAAAAATAATGCATTCATTAAATACTTACACCAAGATTACTCTCAATTTTAGCCAGAAGTTCAATGACCTTGTTGTCTGTCTGTTCATCAGAGACTAGAACAGCTGCTTGGTTGTTTTTCTGGGGTATCAGCGTCTTAACCAAGCTGGTCAGTTCTCTGATATGTTCTAGAATAAATGAGCAAATTAGATTAAATATTTAACCATCTAAACTATTTACAAGAACATAACAACTGCTAATGTGTCACTTGTCACTTTTAGATTAGTTTATTTAACTAAAAAACATTAGGCCCTATAGTTTGATCTTTAAAATATGTGGAACGGATAAATAAACTAAGCCTATTGTAAAGTGTTAAGTTGAGACAATGAGCAGGCTACATAAAAATCTTAAAAATGGTAATTGGACCATATAATATGTGACATTAATATCTGCCAAGCTAAGTAAAGTAAAATTCAGAAAACTTTCTAGTAACCTTCGCCTCTATTAAACATCCTAGCAAAAAATCCTTTTTTCTGTTTCTTTTTTTCTTCTTCTTTTTCTTTCCTTTTTTGTTCCATCTCCAATCTTTGAGCTTTAGTGGGCACCTCTCTGGTCCCCCATGAGACATCGTTGAGGTTGATAATTGAATAGATAACAAGGAGCAGATAACCAGATGGGATTGTTAGGAGGTAGAGTACTCCGTGAACTAGGCATCCAATTTCCTGTCAAATATTAACAAGTAATTAATAAGTTATTAACTGAAAGTTAAGTTTAATACTAAGTTGTTCTGTCTGGAGAGAATAAAGTTGATCATAGAGAGTAATGAATATTCTCTGATAATAAGTACAACTTGAAATTATGCATGTAAAACTATTTTAATTTTATTTTGCATCTTGGAAACGCAGTCATTAGGTAGAAAATGTATAATAATATTTTTGGGTTTTAAAAGATAATTTGTTAAAAACTCTGTCTTGTAAAATTTAATTAGAATAATATTGTTAAAAACTTCGTTTTGTAAAATAAAACTTGAACAAAAAAAATAATGTTTTTAAATTTTAAAAAATTGTTTTGGTTTTAGCCAATTTATTTTTGAAATTCATGTAAGAATTTGTCAACTATGTACCTGAGGATGGCAGATTCCAGCTATGATAAAAATCCCAGTCAGCATGACTATGACTATGACACTGGGGTGAAAGACATTCTCCTGTGATGCTGTTTGGATCGTCCCCACAAGGACTATCATCATAATGAAGGTGTAAAAAATGCTGAGTACCGCAGCAAATATCAGTTGGTGCTGAGACTTCAGCCAAAAACAGCCTATGATGTAAATGGCTGCTGGGACTACGGCAAAGACATAGGATCCCACCAGATCTAGTTTGAACACTAATTTTATTGCACCTGTTGGATAGCAGAAAAAAAATTATTAGATTTTTCATACAATCTAAAAAATGAATTTAAATATTAAATTTCGAAGTGGTAGACAACAGCATGAAAGAGTAGTCACTGTTCTACACAGGAAGGAAATGTTTTATCTGTTTGTATTGTCTGAATAAGTTTAAAATATTCAGCTTTAAGCCACTTGAATTAGATTATTAATACTGCTTTTAAACCAATTGAGCTAATTTTAATATAAATATTATATTAAAATTAGCTCAATTGGTTCAAAAGCATGATTTTGCTCCACAAACTATCAATGTTTGTATTCTTTTTGTCACATTGGCATTCTTTTAGAAGAAGTTAAAATTTACCCCAGCGACACTGTTATAAAAGAAAATTGAGTTAACCTTTCCTCCACTAAAACTGTTATAGAAGTAATAAGAGTTAACCTACCTGCAATCATCATTAGGATTGTGCCTGGGCCCAGTATTGTCATCAGCATAAGCAACCACTGGTACAGTATGTACAGCATGCTGATGTTAGAATTTTTCTTCCTTGTGAGCTGGGAGGAGCCAAGTAGATCTAATATATTGGCAATTGTTGAGGGCATCCAACGGCGCCTTTGGTTGAAGAATTCAAAGAATCCTTCAGGGGCGAAGGTCCAGGCATCAGCTGCTGCAGCGTATTCAATTTTATATCCTTGCTGCAGCATTAGAGTACACAGCCAGCGATCCTCACCTAATAATAAGATAAATAGAGCTAGGTGTAAATGGGTCATCCATAAATGACGTCACACTCGTAGGGGGGAGGGGGGGGTCCGTAATTTTGTGACGGTGTGTGATGAGGGGAAGGGGGGGGGGGGGGTCAGATGGTGCGACGTCACACTTTTGCATTATAAAAAAGCAATGTTAGAAAACAAATTTTAGACGTTATTTTGCATTTTAGAAAACTGTTTTAATAAATTGTAATAGGAATTGATTGAAATACTCTATTTTGACAGAGTTCAGACAAGATTTGGGAAAAATATCGATGTTTTAAAAAGAATTCAACTGCAATTTTGAGGGGGGGGGGGGGGGGGTTGTAGGCTGAGGTGTGACGTCATTTTAGGGGGGGGGTCTGGCTTTTCGTGACAATATGTGACGGAGGGGAGGGGGGGAGGTAAAAATCATCAAAAAAGCGTGATGTTATTTATGGATGACCCCAAAGTATAGGTAGTCTGATCCTCACCTAGGTTTGGATGAAGGGGGTTTAGTTACAAAACAGAGTTAATGATAGTGTGGAATGTAGAGCAAAATATTAAGCTGGGTGTAAATACTAGGTAGTCTGGGCTTGGTGATGATCATGTGATCCTTTACAAGCTGAGGCCACAGAAATAAAAAAAAATCTACTACCAGTGCTAGGACCAGAGTCCTAACAATAAAAGTTTCTCTTGAATACACTTTAGAGCATCACAGACCATAGTACATGTGAAGTAGAGTTCACCTGTTTCTGTTACTTCAGAATAGTGTTGTAAGTCCAGCAGTAAAAAAAACACTTTAAGGGGATATGCTATGTTTTTTTCTATTTTTTTTCAGTTTAAGATCTAAAGCCTTTTGAATACTTTTATCATATTTGGCATATAAAACCAAGTATTAAACAGCAAAAAAACGGGTCGAAAACAATTTTGTTTGTCATGGAAACCCAAAAAACCTCCGCCATTTTGAATTTTTCGTTACTTTTAAAAATACTAAGGCTTTTTTATTTATGCACCTTTAGCAATCAAATTCAAACTGCTTATATTTCAGTATATATTAAAACTTTTGTCACGACAACTATTTGAAATAATGACTAGTAAGAATTTTACAATGTCTAAAAAATCTTACCCTTTTTAGTATTCAAAAGTTTCAAAATGTGCATATTAATTACCAAATACTTTTTTTGTATGAAAGCAATCACAATTCCCTCATGACAAAAGTTGTATTTTTGCATCAAGAACATTTACTGAAAATGTGGTTGACATTGTTTAATAAATAAAAAAAGTAGTAGGCTTTTTAGTGTTAAAAACCTGCGAACTGAGAAAAACCGCCAAAAGTAAGGAAAACTAGGTCAGGAAAGTACCATATCTGTGTAAACTGCAAAGCCGATTGTAAGCGTTGGGTGTTTCTGAGATGTAGGAAATTAAGTTTATTAAATACATGAGAAATCCAGCTTTCCAATGATGTCAAATTCAATATAATAACGGATATAAAAACTTTTCATAGAGAGCTTGTAAGATTGGGAAAAATTGATTATTTTTTATTAATAGGGTCATAAAAATCGTAATGCAAACACATAAAATATTTTTTTTCTCTTTCAAGTTATTATTTTCTTTATACAAAAATGGACAAAGTATCCAAAAGTGCAAGAAACCCATCATGACGGAAAACAAGAAATTTTGTGATTTTTTTCCGCGCATATCCCCTTAATCAGGATCAATACCGGATGGAACAGATAATGGAAATGATTGAAAGTTACCTTGGTCATACTGAAGATGGTGTGTGGGCTCAGTGGGTTCTGTTGTGTATCTCTTCATCACATTGGTGTCCATCAGAGCCGCTGCTCTGAACAAGCTGGAGAAAAGAAATTGTGCATGAGGGAGAGCATGTTCTGCTGCATTTGTTACTTTTTCTGGTATTTTTTTTTGTAAATTTTTGTTTGAGAGAAAATGTAAAATACAATTTTAAAATTTCTAAAAACAGATTTCAGTTTATATTAAAAAAAGATAATAATTTTTAAAGTTATAATATGACTACATTTTTATAAAATTACAATCATTCATAATAAAACAAACATAGCTTTGCTTTAAACTTTTTAGACTAAATTTTGCAAAAATAACTTAAACACTTTGATTATTTGGAACTGGCATGTAACTATATTATTCAGGTTGAGTAGGTTTATGAAAGACTACAAAACTCAAACCAACCTGAAACAACCAGGACTGCACAGAACACAACCAAACACATGCTCTGCTGCTTTCTGTAACCAGTGGCCAAGAGCGTACTCAAACTTCTGATACCACACCATAGGGCCTAAGAAAAGTTGATTGAGATAGCACTCATGTTTGCATATTGATGTAAAGAAATAAATAAAATTAATAAAGTGTATATAAATATGTATTTACGAGCATCTTTATATATATTTGTTTGACATAAACATTCAAAATTGTCATATAAACGTGTATATACATATTTATTTGTGTATATGACATAACTATTTTAAAAGTAAAATTGCAGTTTTATGACAATAAAAATTTAAATATTTTGAAACTAATGCACATAATCAAATACTTCTATGATTTTATTCAACTTAGCTATGAAAAAATATCAGTGAAGATCTGTCTAAGTATCCTACATAAACTATGGCAGTATAAATAAAGATCTTGATTTAATATGCTTTAATAATGAGCTGCCTTACCACTGCCAATGGGATGAATCCTTCCACAGGCTGCGCCAACATTTTCATCTCTCATGCGGTCGAGTAAAATTTTGATGGACCCTGGATAGAAATCTGTGTCACCATCCAGTGCCAGCAGGAAGGTGTTGTTGGCCTGTGGATTCAAACAAAAGCTGCTGACATTTTTAAACAGACGTTTAGACTAATGGTATCAAACAAGTGTTGTTGGCATGTGGATTCAAACAAAAGCTGCTGACATTTTTAAACAGACGTTTAGACTAATGGTATCAAACAAGTGTTGTTGGCATGTGGATTCAAACAAAAGCTGCTGACATTTTTAAACAGACGTTTAGACTAATGGTATCAAACAAGTGTTGTTGGCATGTGGATTCAAACAAAAGCGGATGAGATTTTTTAACAGACGTTTAGACTAATGGTATCAAACAAGTGTTGTTGGCATGTGGATTCAAACAAAAGCTGCTCAGATTTTGATCAACAGACGTTTAGACTAATGGTATCAAACGAGTGTTGTTGGCCTGTGGATTCAAACAAAAGCTGATGACATTTTTTAACAGACGTTTAGACTAATGGTATCAAACGGGTGTTGCTGGCCTGTGGATTCAAACAAAAGCTGATGAGATTTTGATCAACAGACGTTTAGACTAATGGTATCAAACAAGTGATGTTGGCATGTGGATTCAAACAAAAGCTGATGAGATTTTTTAACAGACGTTTAGACTAATGGTATCAAACGGGTGTTGCTGGCCTGTGGATTCAAACAAAAGCTGATGAGATTTTGATCAACAGACGTTTAGACTAATGGTATGAAACGCTATCCAATAATCTTTTAGAGGTAGATTGTGGGTAACATGCCTCAATACAAAGTAAATACAAAGTAAATATATTAAATTCACAGTGTATCAGTTTAACACTTTTTACATAAAGTAATTTTGTATGTTGTATCTATGCAGCCTTAATAAAATGTTAAAAATACAAGAAATTACATAATACTAAGCTTTTCTAAACTGTGTATGCTAGTTAATTTGCAATTAAACATTTTTAAATAATGAAGAAGAAAAAATGTGACACAAAAAATGTGGATGGACGGATTTGCATTTTCTTTTGGGGTATTTGTTGAAAACATTTTTCCTAATATCATTTTATGAGATAATTCTTACTCTATTGTTGTTTAAACAAGAGTCTTATTTTGTTTTAATATGTACAGGATATAATGATTAACTAGAACATTTGAACCTGCTGTTGTTGTCAAAAATTTTACTAGGGTTATTGTCAACACAATAGTTTTTGTAAGTGTCTGGTTACCTATTGTCATCATTTATAAAATGAAATAGATCTAGCCTATCTATAAGTGGCCTGTTGATGCCTACCCTTGCAGTAGCATTTTCTCCCAGCAAATGATTTATCTGCTGGATTGTAAGGCCAAACTGGCCACGTTTTTCTCTCAATTTCATCATTTCTTCAACCATTTCATTCTTGCACGTCATTATGTGTCTGAAGCCCAGCAGATAGTACATATACATCACCTACAAACAAATTCAGTACGGTGGAAAGCTTATAGTTACTGAAGACACTAGATTCAAATTTATCAGCCATATTCAAATAATGCTTAAAGTGTTTAAAATATCATAAGTTTTCTTTTTATTTAAATCTTTAGTTATTTTAGTTTATTTTTCAAAAATTAATAAATAACTACCCTGTCTTACTAGCAGTAAAAAATCACATATGATTATAAAAAAAAACTTAACAGGCACATTGTCTTACCTGTGACCATCTCTTCCTGTTCCTGATTTTACTCATGTCTTTCATGTGAACAAACAGCAGGTTTTCTCCCGGCATTTGCCAGATGAGTTGTCCACCATAGGGAGTGGGGACTTTAATAGGAGCATGAACTTTCATTGGCTTGTTGTGAACAGAACTGTCCAATAAAAATAATTTTAAAATTACATTTTTTTAAAAGTGTCTAGTTTTTATAAAGTTAAATCACAAATACTCTATGGGTTTGAAATACAGACCATCAAAAATTAAAAATAATATTTACCAGAATACACTTTAAAAAAATATTATTTTACAGAATACACTTTAATATTATTGTAAAAAAAAATTCTTTTTTAAATTATTATATTTTTTTCAAATTTATAAAAATAACTATTTAAAAAATGTTTAGAGTTTTCCAGTCCACAATTTTCTAGTCTAATGTACCTGCAGGCTACGTCCATAGATGCTACCAGGTCTTTGACCCAGCGGTTTGGAACTCTCTCATCATCATCATCCAGTTCCATAGCATCATCAAAAAAAATGTGAGCTGATGAACAAAAACAAATTAGCACAACAGCTCTGAATTAACCTAAATAATGATTGCACAATTTCTCATTAAAATTTTACAGTACAGTAGTTCAATAATAATCAGTTGTACAATTACATGATTGGAACAGAAAATTTATTTAGGCCTAAATTAAATACATAGAAGCAGAAAATATTTGTCAAACAGTTGAATAAAAACAAAATTCATTGAATAGGGATTAATAATAAAACAATTATTTTTTATAATTATGAATTTATAATTTTATAATTTTAAATCTTTAATTTTTTGCATATTGCCAAATTGATACACACAATAGGATTTATTTAAATCTTGATATAAGTGGATTGATTTAATACTGTTAAATTTGGATAATTTAATTTAAAGTAACCTTCAAAGTTGTAGAGTTCTGGATCATATCCTCCTACATTGTCATTGGCTATTTTCCTGATGTACTGGTCTCTGTCTAGCCTAAATAGAACAGTTATCTACATTTTAAATAATGTTCAAGAAAATAGATGTAGTTATTTCATAGAATAATAAATACATTTCAATCAGATAAATTAACTTACAATTTTTAAATTAAGTGTATGACAAAATTTTGTACTGTCTTTACCTTTAATGATATGCAGATTTTTTATAAGGCTATCTCATTCATTAAACTTCTTAAATATGAAACTAGTTACAGTTAATATTTCTTGATTCTCACATTGAGTGTGTCTGCTTATTTAAATTATAGATAGAATTAAGAAATAGTTGGTTGAGTGTAGAATTACTAACCCATAATTCTCGTTTGGTTCATTTCTGAGCCTACTCAGCTTTAATTGGTACCTTACTTGTCAGTTAAATTACTCTAAGCCGAACATAATGCCGAGATCAGAGAAGCAGAGAAACTGTGGTGTGAAAGTATACTTTTTTTTATATAAATGTGTAAAAATACTCCTTATGCTTCCATACCTGTGAATGGACTTGAGAAGCTGAACCATTTCTGTGCGTGTCTCGTGCCACATTGTAGCGCAGGCGTACAGCATGGGGGTGTAGGGATTACTAGACTTGTCACCCTCAACTGGCTCTGCTGGACCTAACTCAACATTTTCCTCTGTAGGCAAATCTGCTGTGTCGCCATCCAACATCTCATCGTCGTCATCGTCAATGGTACGGTTTGTAATAATTTTGATCTGGAAAATTGTCATTTAACTTTTGTCATTCATAGATAGGGTTTTAGAGTTTGTAATGGTTTTGATTTGGTAGAAATTATATTTAAACTTTTGTCATTCATAGGTAGGGTTTTAGAGTTTGTAATGGTTTTGATCTGGTAGAGATTGTCATTAAACTTTCGTCTTTCATAGAGAGGGTTTTAGAGTTTGGTTTTGATCTGGTAGAGATTGTCATTAAACTTTTGTCATTCATAGATAGAGTTTTAGAGTTTGTAATGGCTTTGATCTGGTAGAGATTATCATTAAACTTTCGTCTTTCATAGAGAGGGTTTTAGAGTTTGGTTTTGATCTGGTAGAGATTATCATTAAACTTTTGTCATTCATAGATAGAGTTTTAGAGTTTGGTTTTGATCTGGTAGAGATTGTCATTAAACTTTCGTCTTTCATAGAGAGGGTTTTAGAGTTTGGTTTTGATCTGGTAGAGATTGTCATTAAACTTTTGTCATTCATAGATAGAGTTTTAGAGTTTGTAATGGCTTTGATCTGGTAGAGATTATCATTAAACTTTCGTCTTTCATAGAGAGGGTTTTAGAGTTTGGTTTTGATCTGGTAGAGATTATCATTAAACTTTTGTCATTCATAGATAGAGTTTTAGAGTTTGGTTTTGATCTGGTAGAGATTGTCATTAAACTTTCGTCTTTCATAGAGAGGGTTTTAGAGTTTGGTTTTGATCTGGTAGAGATAGTTATTTAAATTCTATCAAGCAGGTCCTTTATGATTCCCAACACATGTCCTTATTCGGTGTTGTCCATAAAAAATGTCATGCTAATGTTGCCAAATTTAGCCCAAAAGACCTTCCAAAAGACCTTTCACACACATATCCATAATTCTAGCTAAACTGAAAATATTTTTCATCAAGTTTTATTTTTCCACTATTACCAATATAGGCCTACTCAGTTAAATTTCTTAACCCTCTCCCTGCTCCACAAAGCCATTTGTTGTGATTAAAACCTTTCCCCTAGGTGTATGACATCATTTGTGGATTACATTTAAGTAAATCAGAAGGAAATTTTGTTCTGATGATTCAGCTTCAATGTCTTCAAAATCCAAAAGTATAACACTTAAAACTGCAAGGCAGCTAGATAACATTGACTAAACTCAACACCTTAACTACAACTAGCATTATTTTGTCTTCACAACTACAGTTTGACATTTTAATATTCAGACAAATAATTCTTCTATCAACTAATTTTACACCTGCCTATAAGTACTTTTTAAAAAACAACCACATCTACCTTGTAATACTTGTCTGATATCTGTCCCTCCGCATTAAGTTTATGATCAGGGACTACTTTGCATGGATGCCTTCTTCTGTTTAACATTATAGACTCAGTGCTCAGTACAGCACAGTATGTAGGACTTAAGAACAGTCTGAAATAACAGATTTATGCCTGTACTGTCAAAATACATGCTTGGCAGCCGTAATCTTGAATTGTTAATTTCATGACTATCCTTAAAAAAATTATTGGGAATAATAATTTGTAATTCAAAAGTTTATTACTGAATTTATAAGTGCAATAATTTAAAATTAATTAAGATTTATTTGTAGGCCTACATAACATTAATATTAAAATACCAAAGCAGAACTTGATTTAATAAGTGCTTTTATACATATATATATATATATATATATATATATATATATATATATATATATATATATATATATATATATATATATATATATATATAAGCAGACAGATGGAGGACAGATGGACAAAGACAGACATGCAGACAGACAGACAAGGCATATAGATATTACTAGGAAAGAAATGCTTAGAAGCATGAAAACTACCTTTCCATATTGGCTGTTCTATCTGTCTGTGCTCTCCAAATGTATCTTGACAAAATTACAAAGGAAATCCACCAACCAACTCCAAACAGAATGTCTTTATAATTATTTCCAAAGGACTCCAGTACAGGATCAATCTCAGTGAAGTTAAGAGGTGTATTATTTCTATAAGGAACAACTGACTACTTTGTTATATCCTTCAAGAAATGAAAACTGGTAATCAAAACAGAAAATCAGAATGGCAGCAGGAGTGGCTAAAACAAGTGGTAGACTTAAGGAGGGGACTTGCATCTGGAACATACAGGCACCAAATGATGAATAGAAGGCCACAAAAGCTGTGGAAAAATAATTTTATATAAGAGAATTGGTGGTGTTATTGATTCAAATTAAAAACAAAACAAAATTAA